CCTGTCTGAGTCACTTGCCTCACCATTGGTTGTCTTTCTACTTTCTACTTTGGCTGACTTTCCCATGCCTTTAGTAGCTGGTTTCACCTTCCTCCAGCTGTCTTCCCCATCCTCCTTGCTGCTGCCACTCTGCCTTTTGCCACCATCCCGCTGAGTCCTGTTCTTGCCCTTCCTCTGCACTAGGGGCTCTTCATCTCCCCCACTGTTATCTCCGCTGCCTGCTGCTGCTTTTTCCTTCTCTTCCTCTCTGTCCCCCCGGTCTCCCAGCACTTTTGCTGCCAGGCTTTTCTGCTTACTGCTCCTCTCCCAAGCTGACTTTTTCCCTCCATTGTTTGGAGCTCTGGGTTTCCAATCCTCCTCGCTGTTCTCTTTCTTGGCTAGGGTCTCCTCCCCCTCACTCTCCATTTCACTTTCCTGGTGCCTTTTAGCTCTTTTGTTTTCCATCCTTTGGGCAGTTTCTTCCTCACTGTCCTCACTCTCCTCCATGGCCTGCTTCCTACTAGCTGAAATCTTGTCTGGTACCTGCTTGTTCTTAATGGTGGCCTCCCACCCCATCTTCGTCCTCACCTTCCTGCCTCTGGGCTCCGGGCTGCCGTTTGCAGAAGAGGAGGAAGAGCTTCGGGGCCTGCTTTTCTTGGAGCTCTTCCTGTAAGAGCGCTTCTTCCTCTCCCCCGTGAGGGTCCCCCCTGCCTCACTGTCACTCACCTCCCTCTCCAAGTCGCTTGCCTCACCCTTGGTTGTCTTTCCATTTTCTACTTTAGCTGACTTTCCCATGCCTTTAGTAACTGTTTTCAACTTCCGCCAGCTGTCTTCCCCATCCTCCTCACTGCTGCCACTCTGCCTTTTGCCACCATCCCACTGGGTCCTGTTTTTTGTCACACGTTTCTTCCTAGTCCTGCCTTTGGACTCCTTTTCCTTATTCCCTTCCTCACTGCTCTCTTCTTTCCAGACCTTACTTGTTCTAGCAGAGCTCTCCTCCTCCTCCTCCTTCCAGCTTTCCTTCCCTGCCTCCTTCTCTAATCCAGTCTTGTATGCAGTAAGGTCCCTCTGCTGTTCCTCCTCATCGCTGCTCTCAATTGCTCTTTTTGAGGCCCGCTTTGGACTCTCCTCTGTGGGGCTGGCTACTGCCCCCATCCCGTTCTTTGCTGGGTGGCTGGAGCAGTCTGGACTGGAGGCTGCAGCACTGGGCTCTGGAATGTGGAGAGAAGAGAAGGTTGGGACAGGTTCCTCCTGCCCCTTTTCCTCCACTTGGGATAGGTTGTCTTAAACCCTGCTTCAGACAGAAGAAAGGAGAGGAGAGACAGCAGGAAACGGCCCATCAGTCCACCCTGTTCCGGGTTCCTGACTCACTGGCTTCACGACCTCATCCAATGCCTTGGGACATATTACATGCACAGTAAATACTTTCTGAATGAACCAACTATGCAGAAGGCACTAACCTGAATCCGAATTCAAACGGAACCTTTTTCTCTCTGGGTCACTGCAGGAGGTGGGAGGCCTCTTTGCCTTCTTGGCAAGGTCTGGTCCTTCTCTGGCACCGGCTTCATCCCCCTGTTTGTGCATCAAGAGGGCAAAACGTGTATCAAGGTGATGCTCTGCTACACCCCCGCTCTGGCCCCTACTCCTCAGCAACAAGCCCCGCCTCCCGTGGAGGGGGTTCCGCCCACACCTGCATCTTCAGCAGTTCCTCCTCCACGAGCCGCTTCAGCACCTGCTTCTCCTTGGGATCCAGGTGGTCGCGGCCGGTGTGAGCCAAGAACCTTCGCCGCACGATGGAGTGGGTGAGCGTGCTGCGGAGAGAGATGTCAAGGGGGAGTCCCCAGCCCGGCCCGGCCCTTGTCCACCCCCACCCCAAGCTCCAGTGCACCTGAGGTCCGGGCGGCCTCGGAAGAAGCTACGGGTAAACTCCCGCATCTCGTTCTCCCGCGCCATTTTGCGCGGGTTGGGGTTGGTGGCCCCCGCCTTTTTTCTTCCCGGCCTCCGCTAGCGCATTTGACAGGAACGTGCGCACGCGCAGTGTCGTGGCGTTGTAAGGCAAAGGACGGTTGGGTGTCGGTTGCGGGCCGCTTGGACCGAGGGCTTTGCCAGACAAACCTTGATTTCCCGGCAGTTGGAGAGTCTCGCGGCTCCTCCCTTATTTTAGATTCGGCGCGGCAACCTTTGGGTGTACGTAATCAGTCCGCGACGCCTCCGTCCGTGGTCTCGTGCCAGCTAGGCCGCTGTGACTTCGGAAGACAGAAGAAAAGGGACATCTCTCCTGAAAACTAGGACTCCCGGGGGGAAGAGTCTTGTGCCTGCCAATCTCTGAGCACGCGTAGAATCGGTCAGGGCGAATCTCCGGCGTCCGCCATCTTTGTGACGTCATCAAGTCGCGGCGACACCATCTTTAGCGTCGTCCCGGGTAGCGAAGTTCCTTTCCCGGTATTCCCTGAGAGGGCAACGGGGTGGTAACGAAACCTGGGCGCGGGGCACGCCGGGGATTGTAGTCCCCGCGGGCACGGTTTGACTTCGTCTCCGGAAGTGGAGGGTGGAGAGGCGGGGCCGAGCGCTGGGAGGGTAGCGGGACTTCAGGGCTGGGCGCCGCTCCGGGGCTGGTCATGAACGGGCCGGCGGACGGCGAAGTGGACTACAAGAAAAAGTACCGGAACCTGAAGCGGAAGCTCAAGTTCCTCATCTACGTGAGTGCGGGGTGAGGAGGTGGGGGTGAGGCCTGCCTCCGGGAGGACCGCGGTTTTCCCACGAGGAAAGGGAGTGGGGTGCGCTGTCGCCAGGTTCCGGGCCCCGCCGGCTCAGCGCGCCCCTGACTGTGATGCAGGAGCACGAGTGCTTCCAGGAGGAGCTGAGGAAGGCACAGAGGAAATTGCTGAAGGTGTCCCGGGACAAGAGGTGAGCCGCCGGGCGGGAGAAGGGAACCCCGGGGGTGAGGTCCCGGTGGCGGTACGTACTCGGACCCGGCTGCGGGAATCGGGCCCAAGGGCATGGTGCCTGCCTGGGGCTGTCGCTAGGCGCCAGCCGACCAGCCAGAGGGACAAGGGCCAGACAGCGTTGCTGCGGCCACAGTGAACACTGTTCGCCCCGCCTCTTTCCTCAGTTTCCTCCTAGACCGGCTCCTGCAGTACGAGAACGTGGATGAAGACTCTTCGGGTGAGCATGCCTGATAGGGGGGCGACATGGTTCCCGGCGCGCAGCCAGCTTCCTGGGCCTCCTTTCAGGCCGTGGAGGCAGCCAGCGTCCAGGGGTTCTCAGCCTCTTTGCTTGCCCGCCACCGCCACTGTTCTTCACTCGAGCGTTTGTTGAACGTCTGTGTTGTAGGCACTGACTTTGGAGGTACTGTGGTGACCAAGATGGATGAAGCCTCTTGGAATTTTTATCCTAGCTGGGGACAGTATAAGTAAGCAAGAAATTAGAATGTTAGATTTGAAAGGAATAAGATCAGGCTAGAGCAGGGGTGATAAACTTTTTCTATAAAGGACCAATTAACAAATATTTTAGGCTTTGCAGAACATACAAGTCTTTGTCACAGCTACGTAGTTCTGCTGTTGTAGTGCAAAAGCAGCCAAAGGTGATAGATAAGTGAGCATGGCTGTGTTTCAGTAAAACTTTATTTATGGACAACGAAACTTGAATTTCACATCATAAACTATATTTTGTCCCTCCACCCCCAACCATTTAAAAATATAAAAGCCATTCTTAGTTTGCAGACCATATAAAAGCAGACGGCAGGCGATGTCTCAACAGTGTCCAAGGAAGGCCTTTTTTAGGCAGTAGTTTGGAGCTAGGACCTGGGTAAGAAAAAAAAACAAACAAATCTTAGAAGGCAGGAATGAGAGGTTTCCAGGCAGAGAGAATAACAAAATGCAAATACTCTGAGGTAACAGAAGAGTCTGAAGAGCAGAAGGGCTAAAGCACATAAAGCAGTGTTTTCAAACTTTTTAAAGCACTATTACAATCAACAATACATTTCACATCATGAGCAAGTCTCTACTTAAGTACTTATAAGACAAAATTTAATGAAAGTGTTAAGATCACTATACACATTTTTTCTGACACTTTTTAGACTGCTTTTTTTTTTTCTCATTGAATGCTGATTGCAACAAATAAAATGACTTCATGACCTACCCATGAGCTGAGACCCACGGTTCGAAACGCCCTCGAGTGGCATTTGTGCCTCTGTTCCAGGATGGGACCCTCAGAAGCCATGTCACATACAGTCACCTCTCTCTGTGGCCCCTTTAAACATTGATCCAGAGCAGGGTCAGCAGATGGCATTCAGCCAGGCTGCTTGTTTTTGTAATAATTTTATTGGAACACGACACCATTCATCTACATATTACAGGAGGGTAGTAGATGCTAAATGAGGTCAGAGAAGTAGGTGGAAGCCCGCTCGTCTAGGTCGTGGCAAAAACATTTGGCTTTTATTCTGGCTTCTCTCTGCCTGCTTGTTCCTTCCCTCGGGGATTCCAGTGAACTTCCTGGTCAGGGGGGTTTCAGGGTAGGAAGCAAGAAAGTCGGCGTGTTCATGGTCAGAGTGTGATCAATCTGAAGAGCAAGAGCTGCACACATAGGCCCACTTGTATCGTGGAGAATCCCACAGTCTGGTCACGGAAATGCCCACACATGACACATGTTAGCACAGTGTAAGGAGAACTGTGACGTGTGAGAGCAGAATCTGGAACAGCCAGCAATTAACTGGGCCTGAAGGATTTTGGAAGACTTCTCAGAGAGGTGCCATTACATCACTTTTTTTTTTTCAGTTACAGTTGACATACAATATTATATTAGTTTCAGCTGTACAATAGTGATTAGACATGTATATGATTTGCTTCTTAAAGGATGTATCTCAGCCAAGAAATTGAGAAAGGCACATACACATAGCCGTTATTTGTCAAATGAGTGATGGCCCTTGTAGGTAGAGGCACGGACTGGGAAATAAATGTTGTTTTTTTATTAAATTGATTGGCATGATGTGAAGAGTGTAGTTTGGTTGGGAGATCAGAAAGGTAGGTTGAGGCCACATTAAGCATTTCAGATGTGATCAGTTTGGGGTCATTCTGGAGTAGGAGTGGACAGTGTGCTGCAGGAGAGGTGAGATTGCTTAGGGGATTTTGACCCCACAGGGTAGTGGCTTGATCTTGTGGCAGTTGGAATGGGGGGCGGGCAGTGGACAAAGACTGGAGAAAGTTGAGAGATTGATTAACAGGACCCTGGACCATAGGGAGTGGAGCAGAGGCAGGAGCTGAAAGCAGCTTAGAGGTGAATGAGGAGAGAGTGGCGTAAATTGGCCAGAGAGTCAGAGACCTGGGTTCAAGTTCAGCCCCACACCTTACTCTTAGCCTCAGTGGCCTCATCTGAAAAGTGGAAGTGAAGCCCTCACCTTCCTTCTTGGATGGTTATGAAGACAAGGAGGGGCGGTGAATGCCAGGTGCCTGGTCAGAGTCTGGCAGGTCGGAAGTGCTTAACATGTGTCACCATGGAGTGGCCTGGCAGGAAGTGTTTGGAAGTCAGATGTAAAGGACCTTTTAAGAAGTTGGAGACTCGGGGCTCCCCAGAATAGCACGTGCGCGCCAGCTGAAGAGTCAGCTTGCCTGGCGCCCTTCCAGAGTCGAGGTCATGCCCTCTGGGGCGGAGAGGAACCCTCCCCACTGACCAGCCCTCCCCCTCACAGACTCAGATGCCACTGCATCTTCAGATAACAGTGAGACAGAGGGGACACCCAAGTTGTCGGACACGCCAGCCCCCAAGAGGTGAGAAGAAGCCATCATTCTCTGGGGATGGAGGTTGGGGGCGGGGGGAGCACCTGGGCCTCCTAGCTTCCTCTGACCCCCTCCCCTATCCTTTCTCCAGGAAAAGAAGCCCTCCGATGGGGGGTGCCCCCTCTCCCTCCAGCCTCTCTCTGCCTCCTTCAGCAGGGTTTCCCCTTCAGGCCTCCGGGGCCCCCTCCCCATACCTGAGCTCGGTGAGTTGGGGCTCAGGGATGGGAAATGGTAACTAAGATGCCTGGGAAGAAGGTGGGCATCATTTGGGTAGAAGAGGCCAGGCCTCAGGGTGAAATTGGCCCAGCTCTGGGGGCATCAGTCGGGGTGTGACCAGCAAGCGTCCCTTGGAGGGGTGTGAGTCATGGCTGCCTGGTTCTCTCTGGTGTAGGAATGGGGGACAGATATGACTGAGGAGAGCAGACCCCAGGACAAAGTCCTGCTGCTGTCCCATCCCCTTCTGTTCTCAGAAGCCACACTCATCATCATCTCTTGTTTTTCCATTCTTCTTCCTGTTTGCATTTTCCCCTTCACCTCCCACCCATCCATTCCATTTCCCATCTCCATTCCCCCCACTCCCACCTGCAGCTGGCTTCCCCCCCCTACCCCCCATTCCCTTCTGACTACCTGGCCCTGCAGCTGCCCGAGCCCAGCCCCCTGAGGCCCAAGCGGGAGAAACGGCCCCGCCTGCCCCGGAAACTCAAGGTACCCAGTTCGGGGGATGTTAGGGAGGGGCCAGAATGGCAGGAGGATAGCCATTTGAGGGAGGCTCAGGACAGAGGCTGGGGGCCTCTCTGAGAATTTTAAAGGATTGATTTGGGGCTGCTGGGGGCCCAGCCCAGGGCTAAGTACTGAGGGATTTGGGTCAGAGAGATACTGGTTCACAGGCTCGATGTGGAGATAAATCGGGTAGGACCAGCCTTGGAGGACTCAGAGTAAAGATGCCTGGGATCCTGCCCTTAGACTGTTGCAGTGTGACCGGGGGGAGGTGGGGGCAGGCTCATTTTCACAGCTGTTCTGTGATGCCCGGCAGCCCCAGAGGGAGGGACGGAGTTGTGGGATCTAGAATCAAGTCAAGGCTGCACCCATTGAAACCATGGGACCTTGAGCAGGGCTCCTTCACCCTCCAAGGCTCAGATTCTGTGTCTGTATAGTGAGCAATCAAAATACACGTACTCAACAAGTGTTTACTGAGTGTCTACTATGCACCAGGCACTGTTCTAGGTGCTGCAGATGAAGTAGTGAATAAAACAGACAAATCTCTGCCTTCGTGGAGCTCATATTTTAGCAGATAGGCAGAAAGTAAAAAATAGATACCAGTGCAGAAAAATGGAGTCAGGTGAAGAGGATGGGAAGCACCAGAGTAGATGGTGTTTATGGTTAGGTGGTCTGGGGTGTTATTTGGTGGAGACTTCACGGAAATGAGAACAAGCCATGTGGCTCTCTGGCAAAGTGTTTCAATCAGGAAGGCTAACCAGTGCAAAGGCCCTGGGGTAGGAGTGTGTGTGCATACTTGGCTGTTCAAGGACCAGGAAGGAGTCCATGTGATCGAATGAAAGTCAGAGGGGGAGAATGATCAGAGAGCAGGTCAGAGAAATAACGGGTAAAATGGTGTAAGGCCCTGTCGGTGTGTAAAGACTTTGGCTTGTACTATGAATGAATAGGAAGTCTTTGGAGAGATTGGGCAGAGGGAGAATCTGATCTGATTTACGTATTAACAGAATTGCTGGCACTGCTGTGTGGAGAATAGACTGGGGAGGGAGAAGAGAGGACGAGGGGGTCTGGTCAGGATGGAAATGGGGAGACCAGTGAGGAGGCTGCTGCAGTAGACCAGATAGCAGTAGAGAGGGTCTATTGCAAAGAATGAGCCACAGGAAGACCAGTGTGGGCTGTGAGAAAGAAGTCCGGGTTGACTCCAGGGTTTTTGGCCTGAGCAACCAAAGAAGTCAGGAGTGGGAGAGATGAGGAGTTTGGTTTTGGACATGTTGAGATTCTGTCTGGAAATGCCAACAAGACACCTGGGTGATGAGCCTGGGGCTCACGGGGTATGTGCTGGAAGTCATCAGCGTGGAGGTGGATTCGATCACGAGGGAGAGTGGGTGGAGAAGAGGGGAGGACTGTGCCCTTAGCTCCAGGAGACATGAGGACAGGGAAGGCACAGTGGCCGTCCGGCTGAGTCTAAGTGGAATAGGTACCAGGCTGGACAGCTCTCAAGTCAGGTGGACTTTGGACTCAAGGTTCTGGAACCAGAAGTGCGATGGGAGGACATGCTTGTGGTGGTGCTGGGTGTGCGTTCGAGTTCGTCTCCCAGCTCTGCCACTTACTCCTGTGTAACCTTGGCCCTTAAGCCTGAAAAATGGGTAGGTAATGCGTGACACACTGACCCTCCACCCTACTTGGCAAGGATTTTGTTCTGGCCTGTAGGGCAGGATGGTGGAGATGGCCAGGGTCAGCGAAGCCTGGGGCCGATGGGCAGAGGTGTGTGGCGTGAGCTCGGCAGTTGGAGGCTTTCTGTGGGGTTGGTCCTGAAGTGGAGAAGCTTTGGGGAGCTAAGCTCTAGACATTCAGGAGAGAAAATACTGGTTCGGGGAGAGGCCCAGATCAATGGCTGTGCTGGGGGAAGGGGTGACTTCAGGGAAGGCCTCAGAGAAGAGGTAACACTTGAGCCCAGGGTAAGTGAGATTTGGGTGTTACAGGCTGAGGCAGTGGTGGGAGGAAGACAGAGGACATGGCCGGTGTTTGGGCTGGAGCAGGAGGGATGAGGGAACAGTGTTGGGAAGGAAACTAGGATGGGGGGTCGTAGAAGGCCTTGACGCGCAGAGGCGGGCAGGTCTGTGAAGGGAGTGGGGGTTGTTGAGGCTTCTGAGTGACGTGGCGTGAGGAGGGAACGCTATGAAGACTGAAGCAGGTCAGTTAGGAGCCTGGGCCTCAGTCAGACTCGGCTGGGTTTGAACCCCAGCTCCCCCACGTGACCTTGGGCATGTCATTTCACTCTGAGCTTCAGCTTCTCCTGGGGTCACTGGGTCACTGTCACGTTAACACGAGTGAAGGGAAGGAACACAGCCCAGTGCCTGGTCCCTAGGAAGCCACAGGTAAACACTAGCTGCTGTTGGTCACCTGAGGGGGCCATTGAGTGAGTCCAAGCAGGTTAGGAAGTGGGAGCTGGAGTAGGAATCAAGAGTAGTGGCCAGAGGAGGGGGACAGTCCTCGTGTCGCTGCTTTTTTCAGCCATGTACGTGCCTGCTCCTCTGTGTACACATGGGTGCCTCGTACTGGATACAAGGGTGCTATTCAGTGCTTGGCCTCCTGTCACCAGTCCTGGCAGTCTCCTGTACCCTGAGGTGCTGACCCTGATGAAAAACCCACTCTGGCCCTCCACGCCACCCAGGAACAGGGTGAGGGTGGGCCATGAGGGCTGAATGGGTCAAAACAATGAGAAGGGCCACTGTGAAGACCACACAGAAGCATTTCCTGCCACCTGCAACCCAGGGCCAGATTGGACACTGCCCAGTGGGGACCTGGCAGCCTGTTTTCTCCTCTGGCCCCTGACCTCTCCTCCCTTCCAGGGCGGTCAGAATGGCCAGAGAGCATTAAAGCGAATCACTGTCAGTGTGTGCTCGGTTTGTGCTCACAGGCAAGGCGTGCAGCCCACCGCGTTCTCTGGGGGGAAGGTTGTCAGGACCTGGCAGGAGTGGGGCTGGAGGGTTGGGCAGGACAGAGGCCACTTCCCAGCCTCAGAGGACACAGCAGGACCAATAGAAAAGGACACTGCAGGTGGAAGGACCGCCGCTCTCAGGCATGCGGCACCGCCTGCCCTGCGGGCAGCGAGGGGCCTGAGGCCATCAAGTGGAGGAGTGACGGCTCAGATTTGTGTTTTAGAGAGGCCGCTCTGGCTGCAGTGTGGAGGAGGAGCTGGAGCTGGGAGAGGCTGAAGGCAGGGAGTCCAGTTAGCAGGCTGGTCCCGTAGTCCAGGTGAGCTGAGAGGAGGGCCTGGCCTAGGCCAGTGGCTGTGGGGATCCCAAGGAGGGGCCAGCCCAGATGTAAGAGGCCTCACTCACATAGCAGGGGGTGAAGACCTAGGACACCCCCACCCTACCACCAAACCAGTGAGCCCCACCGTAGGAGGAGGGAGAGAAGGCCAGTGGTGGCCAGTGGTATCAGGTGCCTAGAGGCAGGCAGGCCCAGGCTGGCTCTGATTGCTGTGCCGTCACAGGGGCTGCCGAGTGAGGCAGGGCCCAGCCTTTCCCTCCTGGTTTCCTGTAAGCCCCTCCCGCCCTCATCACTGCCTCCATCACTACTACCCCTTACCCCCAGGCACTTGCTGGTTTGAGACTCTGAAGTGGCTATGGTGGGGTAGGCCCCTGATTCCAGTGTGGCTGGCCTGGCTGTGTCCAGTACCCTTGGAATGAGCCTTTGCCCCTTCCCCACCCCCCAGAACTGCCGTAAGGGGCAGTGCCGGCCTCCTAGAGGTCCCATTCCTTCCTGACAGCCCCTCCCTGTGTTTCTTCCCCCCCCCCCCTGCTGGAGATGGCGGTGGGACCCCCTGACTGCCCTGTGGGAGGGCCGCTGACCTTCCCCAGCCGGGGTTCTGGGGCTGGGGTGGGGGCAGCCCTGGCCCCACTGCCTCCCACTAAGATGCCCCCCCCTACGATCCTGAGTGCAGTCCCTCGGCAGATGTTCAGCGATGCAGGCAGCGGGGATGATGCCCTGGATGGAGATGATGACCTGGTGATCGACATCCCGGAGTGACCCCCTCTGCCCGGCCCCTGTCCAGCCCCCTGTGCCAGCACATGAGCCCCAGCTTCCACAGAGACATTTATTGACGCCCAGTTGCCATGCTGCGGCCACTGACACAATCGGAAGAAGAGGCGTAAACATGCATAAACGTCCCCTGGAAGGAGGGCCCCTCCCCAGGAAGGGCAGGAGGCTGCCCTCACATCCTGGCCCCGTCCTGGGGACACTGATTTAAATGAGTGGCTGGGAACATCTGCCACCCCTCGGAGAGGCCGGGACCCCGCGGCGCCTCCCCCTGCATTTAAAAGGGCAGCTGTGCAGGGCTAGATGTGTTGTTTTCAAACGAAGATTCTGTAGTAAAGGAGTGGCTCTTTTTTGGTTTTTGTCCTTTTCTTTTTTGGAATCTTCTCTTTCAAACCCCCCCTAATCCGACCTCCTCCCTGTGGTGGAGGGGACGGGCAGCCTGGAGAGGCAAGAGAGAAGCAGCAGCTGGGCTCTTGGGGCAGGGGCCCTGGCAGGGCTCCCCTGCAGGTGTGCACAGGATGGATGGTTTGCATATTTGCATGTAGTAGCGAGTCAGGCAGGAGGAAGTTTGCATATGTGAATACAGATCTCCACAGTCCCTCACAAGACAGACCCACAGTCACAGAGATTCTCACGAAGTAAGACAGGTAGTGCAGGGCGGGCGGGGCATCCACCCCGTGTAAACGTGCAACACACTCGTGGGAAGGTTGGGTGCTGGACCCAGCCCTGAGGGGCCTGTGCTGGGCAGCTGCTTGCCTAGCTCAGGCTGAGGGCAGAGCCCCGGCTGCAGGGGGCAGCTCGCTGGTCAAGGTGTGCCAGCGCTCCAGGGCCGAGTCTGGCTGCCGCAGACAGTCATTCCAGTGCTTCCGGGCCTCTCCCCGGGCCCCAGGTCCCAGGGACACGCCCCCTGGGGAGCACGAGAGGCAAAATCAGGGCCCTGCCGGCTGCCGGTCTGCCCGCCCTCAGCACCACCCAGCGGCTCCTCCCTCACCAATGAAGTCGTTGGATTTGCCAATGTCATAGTCCCAGACTGTGACTTCCAGAGTCTTGGTGGCCAGAGCTGAGAGTTCCATCTCATAGAAAAACTCCTGGGACAGGGCAAGCCACACCTTCCATGAGGCATTGCCCCAGGCCCCACCCCTGCCCCTTGTGAGCTCTGTCCCTTCCCCATTTACCTCATTAAATTCTGGGTTGAGAGTCTTCTTCTTCACGCCTGTTTTGTGCTTGGATTTCTTATCCACATCTGGCCTCAGGTACCTGCCAAGGAGGTGGGGCAGGGGCAGGGGAGCAGGGTGGTCAGGGATAGGCCAGAGGAGGACAGGGCAGAGGTCAGGCTCCCTGGGGAGGGGAGGGGAAGGAAGGGCTCACGTCTTGACATAGGGGTCGGAGTAGCCATTGACGTCCATGGCAGCCAGGTGGGCACAGCGTAAGATGCCCACCAGTAGCCCGCGGCGTGAAGAGCTATAGCTGAGACTCAGCAGGATGCGCCCTCGTTCTTCCAGCAGCCCAGGCCCCTGTTCCGCCTGCTCCAGCTTGGGGGCAGACACAGGTCAGCCTGCATCCTTACCACCTCCCGCCCCGACTGGTCCCTGTGAGGCGCCTTACCTCCTTCAGGTAACAGGATATGCCCCTCAGCGCTGCCGACATGGAAGAGGGTGACGCCAGCTGAAGGCAAAGAGAAGGTTCTGGAAACCCGGCCTCCCAGGAACCCCTCCCCTCAGCACCCTACGGCCCCATACGGACCGGGACCTGGCGCTCAAGGCAGATATTAAAATGCTTCTTCTGTGAGGGCTTGAGGCGGCGGAGGGGCACACGGATCTCTCCGATGAACTCATTGTGGCTCAGCTTGTCCTCGTCACACACGGAGATCCTGGCAGGGAAACCAAGGTCAGGGCCCTGGGGTCCCTGGGCCCCCCTCCAGTGAGAAAGTGCCTCCAATGGAACCATGGGCACCTGAGGCTGGTCCTGCTCTGCCTTCGTTAAATACTCATCTGTAAGATGGGCTGCGGTGAGCACCAGGCCTGGCACCTGAGGAGGATGTTTTGGTGTGCCCTGTGCCCCTCCCCTCCCTCTGCATTGCCCAGGCTGTCCCCTGGTCCATCAGGACCTGCTCAGCGAACCTGGAAGCCTTCACAAATCTGGGGGACCTTCCCCATCCCTGCCTTCTGGGCCTGTGGACAGGAGCCTGCTGACTGCGTAGGGTGGGCACTGGTGGGTGTGGTCACCAGTTCAGGCTGTGAGGGCTGGACGGCCTGGAGGAGCCTGGGGCAGCTGGACAGGCACCCACTCCTCTGGAGCTCCTGTCCTGTTCTGCATGCAGAGGGCCGGCCGGGGAGAGACTGAAGCCAGAGGTGAGAAAGGAGTGTTTGTATCTGTGTTGTCTCCTTCGGCCCCTGCACTTGCTTCTGCTGTGACACCCGTGGGTAGCTGTCATGCAGGAGCGTTCATCCCCAGCTCTGCCACTACTAGCAACCGTGTGAGCTTGGGCAAGTCAACCTCCTGACGCCTCCGTTCTCATCCATAAAATGGAGATTCTACTCACCCACCTCCTAAAGCTACTGTAAGGACCAAGTGAAATGAAGGAATGTAAAATGCATAGCCCGTTCCCTAACCGGTTTGGCTCAGTGGATAGAGCGTCGGCCTGCGGACTCAAGGATCCCAGGTTCGATTCTGGTCAAGGGCATGTACCTTGGTTGCAGGCACATACCCAGGAGGGAGTGTGCAGGAGGCAGCTGATCGATGTTTCTAACTCTCCCTCTCCCTTCCTCTCTGTAAGAAATAAAATATTAAAAAAATGAAATGCATAGCCCGGGGCTGGATACCGCGGGGCACCCAGCGAGTGATGTAGTCCTCACTCTCTAGTATCTGAACTAGGGGGCCAGCCTTTCTGGTTTCTGCCTGTCCTCCCTCCAGTCCACCTCACACACAACATCAAGGTGATCTCTCCCAAACACAGCCCTGCCCAGCCAGTGTGGCTCAGTGGTTGAGCGTCGACCTATGAACCAGGAGGTCACGGTTCAATTCCTGGTCAGGGCACATGCCCGGGTTGTGGGCTCCATCCCCAGTGGGGGGCGTACAGGAGGCAGTCGCTCAATGATTCTCATTGATATTTCTCTCTCTCCCTCTTCTCTCTAAAGTCAATAAAAATAATAAGTAAACATCTAAATTTTTTTTTAAATAAAACACAGCCCTGACTGCCCCCCTGCCCTGGTACAAACTCTGCCATGACTCCCTATTGCCCAAGAACAAAGGAAAGTTCTAGAAGCCTAGGTTTTGCTGCCCTTCATTCCCTATCGGACTACTCTCCCCATAACACCTCAGGGATGACTGGGCAAGTTTACTATCCTCAGACTTCCTTCCTTAGAGATGTTGGGGGGGCGGGGAGGACAGAGGCAACAGAATGAGCAGACCTCCGCTGCACAGCCCTGACTTCAGTCAGGACCTCTGCAAAGGGCTGTGGGGGACCAGGGACCGCTTTCAGGGGGAGGCGGGGCCTCGAACAAGGAGTGGGGTTTAGGGTGGCGGAAAGAGAAGGAGAAGCGGCGCTTTCCAGGTAGAAGAGACAACAGGCAAAGGAAAGGATCAGAGTAATGAACGGCCGGTCAGAGAGGGCAGCCCTCTGCTGGAGGCAGGAGGAGCGGTGTGGGTAGGAATGCCAGGGAGCACGTGGCCCGCTGCCAAAGGGATGGGGCGCCACTGATGGTACGTGAGCAGCTGAGGGGCTTAACGGGAAGTAAGTCAACCAAAGAAGGTTCCCAGGACAGCTGTCCCGGAGGAGGCCCGGAGCTGGAGGTTTGGTAGCAGGGAGGATGGGCCTCACCTGAGCACCTTGTGGCTGATGTCCTCATCCGTGATGCCACTGTACGTCAGGTCCTCGTTCCACACGGGATTCAGAGTGTTCCTCTGCGTCTTCGTTTTTAGCTTATTGGCCTGCGGCGTGGGGACGAAGGATTCTCAATGCATGTTCCCTAGACCCACAGAGGCCGAGAGCGGGGGAGGCTGGGGACAGACCCAGAAGCTGCGTCAGACTCGGGGAGGGAGGGAGCTATTACCTTGCAGGCTCCAGGCAGCAGGTGCACCTTGACGTAGGGGTCGGCCAGGCCATTGAAATCCATGGGCTTGAGGCCCTGGCGGGGAGGGGAGGAAAGAGAGCGGTGAGCTCCCAGCCCTCCCTCAGCGGAGTAGATCTTGGGGGTGTGGAGAGCCAAGGAGAAGGGGACCTGGGAGGGGGGCGTGGGGAGGGGAGCAGGGGCATGGCCGGGAGAAGGGAAGGATGGAAACCCATCCCTCCCAGGTGGGAGGCAAACAGGGTTGAGGCTGGGGAGGGGGGGAGCGCCCACCTTGGCCCTGAGGATACTACAGTGCAAAGTGCAGGAGGCCTGGTCATAGAGAAGGTCAAACTCCAGCGTGCCCAGGGTGGCTGGGGAAGAGAAGCCGCGTGAGGCCGAGTGTAAAGGCTGGTGTGTGAGCGCGCGGCGGCAGGCCGGCTGGTGCGCTGGCCGTGAAGGTATGTGCATGTCAGCCTGCCAGCCTGTGTGTTGGGTTCCTGGTTCGGCTGCAACTGGGCTGTGTGGGTGGTTGTCTCAGGAGAAATATTGAATATTGAGCCTCGCTAAAGCTGTAGTCTCCACACTGACTGCAGCTGTAGTGCCTGTGCCCTGGCCTCCCCCACACACACCCAGCAGGACCCCATCCCCTTCCCACAAGCCTGGAGGCCCCCAATACCACCCTGGGCCCTTGGAGCCCCCACACTCACTGGCATCATCCGAGTCATAGCTGTCCACCTCAGCTCCATCCTCGGGTGTGGTGGCCCCCAGGAGGGCTGCAGGGGGGGCCAGGGCCAGGGGGGCCAGGCGAGCAGGGGCCTCCCCAAGGCCCCCTCCACCACCGCCCCCTTCAGGTCCTGGTCCCCGGCGGGGGAAGTAGTCAGAGATTTGGCGGATGGGCCGGATGGGCCCGGGGCACACGTTGATGGCCATGTGCTCCTGGATGTTGATGGTCATGCGATCGCCCCTGCGGCCCCTCATGCAGCACCGTGTCTGGGGGGCGGGGAGGTCCCAGCGTGAGCCACTGCCCACTCCTCACACCTGTGGGCTGCGGGCTGCAGGCCAGGCAGCACCCTCCCAGTCTGGGGCCTCCCCTTCTAGGTGTGGAGGGAGGGTCAGCCTGTGAGCTGGGTCCTCGCTCCACAGGCTGGGCTGCCAACTCCCTCCCCCCAGGTCCTGGCTCCACCCCAGCCTTGCCCACTTACCGCCCGTGTCCCTTTGTCATCTTCCCGGCTCCTGCCCCTCGTTCTGGGCTCCCTTCTGCCCCTGGGCCTGCCTGCTCCCCGAAGCCACCCCCAGGTCTCCTCTGTCTCTCGGGGCTCTGGCTATCCTGCAGCAGGCGCTTGTCTAGTCCGGGTGTCACCCACCCCTGGAGACATGCACTTCCCACCGCGTTCAGCCCCGGGGTCCGCCGGTCCGCCTGGTCCCCACCTGCAGCCCACGCTGGGCCCCTTCCCCAGCTGCCTCCTCCTCAGATGGGCGCTCCAGGGGGCC